ACCCTCGGTTCGTCAGATACCGCTTTGCTCGCCTGACTCTTCAATTGAAATGCACGCTGAACGTCTTCACAAACAACCTTTGCCATTGAAATGGAAGCCAGGGAACTGGCAGCAGAAAATAGCTTCCTGAGCTCCTCCCGGACAATGTCGGGGATAATGTCTCGGATGCCTAGAAGGCTGGCGTCAAAGTTGCAGCTGGACGCCTTGAGTGTGAAGACGTGTGAAGAGTGTGAAGGTGACGAAACCCTCTACTGTTGTCAGAGGGTTACGTATAAGGCCGCAGAAAATGTCCCACACGCCCCGCATGTGAATTCTCAGCTTCTCTTCTGTAGCTTGAAGGTCAGCGCGGGCGCGCGATCAATGAGGCGCGAAATATCCACCTTAAAGGCGGTAACGCTCTGGTTGGTGCTCTGTGTCCTGGACCGAAGCAAGTCTTCTGTATCTCTTGTTGATGTTGGCTGACGAACGTGCGCTTCAACTCGATCTTGCAAACTTTACCACCGCGTCAAGGAGGAATCGTAGTTCTAAAACCAGTGGCTGTCATTTTCTTCAAGCGAGAAGTACAAGTTCTGCAAAATCTGGTCATCTGTCCACCCATTGTGGTGGGCGACACGGTAGTGTTGGTCAGTCCGGTCATCGGCGTCTTCATATTTCGCCATGGAAGGGCGTCGGACTACGAGGTGCGATGGTCATGTAAACAACGGTGGAAGCGGCCGAGGTTTGGTGCAACAGGTTGGCCATCGTTGGCTTAGTCCGCTTCGATCTTTTGGCAGGATACCGAATACCGGGCGTTCTCCCTAGTTCCAGCAACTGGGTCGGGGTTCAGGTTCTTCGCGGTATAATTACGTGGCTCAATCTTCTTGTGGGACTCACTCGTCTTGCAGTTTTTCTGCCAGGCTCGGGGTGAAGCTTGGCTCACGGCTCCCCAGGGAGGGGGGGGGGGGATTATAAATGAAAGGGCTGAGGGTAAAGTACCCACCACCTCCACCAGAGCAATCGATAGCAACCGAGCATGGCCTTGAACGTTTCAAAATAGCACAGATTGATTAAATAAAGGGCTCGACCAAGCATTCGTGGTAACAGAAAAAAAAAACTTTCTGAAGTGTTTATCCTGACCAGTAAGAAGCTGCTTTCCTTTAGTGGCAAGCTGTCAGAATAAGTCCGCTCTTTCCGTGTTTCGACGACTGCCGTGGACGAACCGAACGGAAAGGGGTGTGGAACCAATTTTTTACTTTGAGCTGCAAGACTTCTGCTTCGTGAAAGTGCCCATTACGGCAGAACTATTTAGAAAGCAGCACAGCCTCATCTAGCACGGCATGGAAACTTCCTGCTTCAAGGCAGCTCTCCAGTGCGCCGCACAGGCAAAGTGAACCTTTGGTTATTTAGACGAGCTGCACCACGACTGCACACTGTCAAGCACGACTTGCGCAATTTCCGCAGCGAAACTGTGGTCCAAATACATTGCTCACGCTTTGTTGCAGACCTCGGTAATTACGATAATCAATGAGAGACCAAAAACGTGCAGGGGAAACAGCGCACCCGCAAAAGTAGTCACTCAAGTATTTTGCGGGTGCGCTGTTCCCCCTGTACATTATGAGCAACCAACTTGCCCGAATCTCTGTGTTAACCAAAAACGTCGCGTTTGATTTCTCCTATCAATATCCGAATCAATTCGAGATTTGAGACGATTGTGTATCTTTCGTTGCAATATCCCTGCCGATCGCCAGAGAAATGCGCAATTAAAGTTACGTTCCTCCGTGTTTCCTACGCTAAACTCTGAAATCGCATTCAATCGGCTTCAGATCACGGTTCCTTTATCTGAAATCAACTCACTCAGACCAGCAACTACGAACAACAGAACCGACAAGCTTCGGCACAAGCTTCGCCACAACTGCCTGGGCGCTGCCATCTTGCCAGTGAAGTCACGCATTTGTTTAGGTCACGTGACGAATAGTCACATTTGCGTAGAATGGCGACGGCCTGCGGGGGGAAGGGGGGGGGGGGGTAACTATAAGCTCATCTGCCTCGTGGCACTCACAACAAGCCGAAAAATGTTACCAACTGAAAAAAAGCAGCAATAGAAATGCCATGAAACCGCTAAACCAGCTACATTTAGTGCGCAGGTCAAGAATTATCTTTCAGAGCAGTTTACTGCTGTGCTTAGTTTAAAAACATTGGAATAATTCAGATAACCTTTAGAAGGGACCTATGTTGTTCGAAGCAAACCACTTCAATGCACAGAACGATGTCCATCGCACATTATTACTGTTACCAGATGTTGACAGATGCATCGTATTGTCATACCTCCGTCCTTCTAAGTTTTAGTGCAATATTTTGATGTAAGTCAAAGCTTCAACTGAATTCAGATGCTTCACAAAATTTATAACCTTCAACGTATCTGACTCATTTAACGTCTCTAGAACGTTTAAATAACCTTTTATAGTTTTTATTACTTTTGTGCAAAGTTAACTGGGCCCATTTCATATGGCAGACTTAGAAAGCGAATACACTGATTTCTGCACAAATCAGTCAAAGTATGTGTCGATGTTTGCCACAGTGATAGCTCAGTGGTGTGGCGAACTTTACTCTCGTTAACCACAATTTTGTTGACAGTGAATGGTGGTGATCCCGTGACTCTAGCTTTATACAGAAATTAAGTTATTTTTATATTAATAAATGTAAACTTGGTAACATTTTCATTTGAGCTGTACACCGGCAAAAAAAACGAAAAAAAAACAAAAAAACGTTAACATAATTTTCAAACCGCTAAGGAAACCCGCCTCCCGCAAAAGGGTAATTTATTCTGCTAGACGACTCAGAAAGCCACAAGGTTTAGTCGCAAAACCGCCAAATCGGCAACACTGCGAACAAGCGTTGTTGAATGTAGGGATGGCGAGCTAGAGGCTGAACCGCTGCAACTCCTCCAAATATAAAAAAAAATGGTAACACAGAGCGCAGAAGACGAGAACACCGAGTAAACAAAAGAACACAGGGCGAGCGCTGAAGATCTATGCACCAACTTGCCAGCATCGCCACCTTAATGCAACTCCTCCCTATCCCTGACTGTCAAATTCTCGGAAACCGAAACATAAAAGCGTGCCCGAATTAGAATTGAAGAAAATAAAACCGTAAAATTCTGCAAGTGTTTTATATCTATGGAGTGTGTGTTGATTTAGTTGCTTAAAAACGCACAGAAAGGTCTTCACTAAAAAAATGAAAGCCGTTTACAACTCCCTGTAACGCCGAATTAGAGCGCAGCTCTTGAGGAGGAGGAGGGAAGGGTACTGGGGGGGGTGGCTTCAAGTGACCTCGGGGGGCGGGGGGTCACGTGACCTTGGGGGTCACGTGACCTTGTGGGTCACGTGACCTTGTGGGAGTCACGTGACCTTGGGGCGTCACGTGACGTCGGGGGGTCACGTGACCTGGGGCCACGTGACGATACCGATGACGTCATCAGTAGCGTCACTGATGACGCCATCAGTGATGATGATGACGATGCGGATGCCGGTGACGTCATCAGTGACGTCACTAATGACGTCATCAGTGATGATGACGATGACGATGCGGATGCCGGTGACGTCATCAGTGACGTCACTGACGACGTCATCAGTGCCTATGACGTCAACGGGGGGTCACGTGACCTCGGGGGGTATCCCCAGGTCACGTGACCCCAGGGGGGGTCACGACCTGGGTAACCATCGTGACCCTCGTGAGGGTAACCCTAGTAACCCTTGTGAGGGCAACTCTCGTGACCCTCGTGAGGGTAACTCTCGTGACCCTCGTAAGGGTAACTCTCATAACCCTCGTGACCCTCGTGAGGGTAACTAACCCTCGTAACCCTCGTGAGGGTTACGAGGGTGAGTAACCCTCGTGAGGGTAACTCTCATAACCCTCGTGACCCTCGTGAGGGTAACGAGGGTTACGAGGGTGAGTAACCCTCGTGAGGGTAACTCTCATAACCCTCGTGACCCTCGTGAGGGTAACCCTCGTGAAGGTTACCCTCACGAGGGTTACTAACCCTCGTAACCCTCAAAAGGGTTACCTTCACGAGGGTTACCCTCACGAGGGTTACTAACCCTCGTAACCCTCGTGAGGGTTACAAGGGTAAGTAACCCTCGTGAGGGTAACCCTCGTGAAGGTAACCCTTTTGAGGGTAACTAACCCTCGTAACCCTCGTGAGGGTTACGAGGGTAAGTAACCCTCGTGGCCCTCGTGATCCTCGTGAGGGTAACCCTCATGAGATTAACCCTCGTAACCCTCGTAACCCTCACGAGGGTTACGAGGGTTGCGGTTACGCCGACGCCGACGGCGACGGCGACGGCGACGCCGACGGCGACGGCGACGGCGACGCCGACGGCGACGGCGACGCCGACGCCGACGGCGACGCCGCTCAAGCCGGGAACGGGCCCCTAAGAGCTGCGCTCTAAAAAACAACGTAAGTTTACTGATAGAAATATTAATTATTCGTGAGAATTAATAATCAAGATATACTGAACAAAATTATTTCTCCTACAGCGCCTTTGGCTGAAAACAATGCGCCATCCTTCGTGGTTCTGCGCGGTACGGGTACATTTGACAAGAACCGTTTCATCAAATGTTCAGCGAGATTCTCTATGGCCCCAGGGCAGTGAACAGAAGGCGCCTTGCTCGGCTGCTACTCAGCGCGGCTGGTGGGCAAAAAGGGCAACTTTGGGAAGGCCATGTCACCGAGTGATTGTACACGAGCGCTGCGTCACTGTTCGGAATGGCGTTCGGAAATTCGCGCTCGGGATCGGGTACAATGATCGAGGCAGCGGGCGTTCTGAGAGTCACGAAAATTCCCCTTAAGATGGCGCCAGATGTCAAACCAAACTTGATCGCCCGGTGGATATATAGCTCCTAGTAAAATGCAAGGTTACAATTATCTAGCCATTTTTCGTGGCAAAAACTGGAACACTAGTTTTTGTTTATTTGCAGATTCGGCCATATTTTTGGGACCCTAATTTGTTGGAAATCAAGTTATGAAAGGCTTATACTTTTTAATTTTGGTTGCAAAACTAGCTGCAGAAGGATATGCTTCAAGTAAGTGTCATATTTCATCATGTGTTTTGATTTCTACAGTTGAAAACATTTATGAGGCTATGAAGCTATACATAGGGAGCGGGGCATGTGGCACAGCGCCAATACTGCGGATTTTCTTTTTTTTTTTTGTTTTGGTTTCTGTACCGTTTTTACCACCGCTGATATGTCGATAAAGAATCGGGAAAACAAGTTGAACAATGCGGGGTTGCACAAGCAGCTGAAGTTTATTAATATACAGGTATAATAAAAGCGGCCTAGAGATGCCAAGTCGACTTTGTGTAAACTCAGACATAGTTGTGTTCTTTTTGTTAGATCTATGGAAGCGTCCCTTTAACCATCTTTACCATTGTCCATAGCTTTAAATTCTTTGCCTATTAAATTCGTTAGCAGTTTGGGGGCAGCACGTTACAATCTACATTTCCAATAGAAAAACTAAGAGAGAAGGAAAAGGATATAGTATTGTTACAGCGACGATACTAGATTTTTGTTTCGATCAGTGTTTTGAAAGAGGGTCGGAAATTACGAAAATAATCCGTGGAGAAGGGGAGCAAGAGGGACAAAGTACAAACATAAATCTCCAAACACAGCTAGGTGACTGGTGAGCGTCTGAAAAAATCCGCCTGGTCCGGGTATCGAACCCGGGACCTCTCCGTTACACGTGGAGCGCTCTACCAACTGAGCTAACCAGGGGTTAGAAGTCAGTAGAGCAAACGAGTTTTATCAGCTGCCACCAGTCTAACATCAACAAGGGTGAAGCTTGCAAATTTAAGGTCTTAATTATAATGCACTTAAAATGCAAAGGTGCAAGCGAGCTTGCACCTCTGATGAAAAGTGGGTACCGCTTCCTATGTTCCAATATTGCTGTTTTAACGGTACGCATTTTTTGCTTATTACTTCTCCCGCTGATCCCTCCACTTAACCTATATATATATATATATATATATATATATATATATATATATATATATATAGGTTAAGTGGAGGGATATATATATATATATATATATATATATATATATATATACTGGTAAATTATTTAGAGAGAGAGGACGGCTTTACTGTTTTAGACAAAGAGAGAAGAGGGTAAAACTGACGAAAACTCACTGCATCAAAAATATATCGCAACATTTTTACTTTGCTTTGTTGGGGTTTCGGAGACTTTTCTTTTAGGTTTTCGTGTTGTTTCCTAAGAACTGGTTTTGTGTCAGTGCGAACTGAATAGCGGGTATGCGGTTCTAGGACAGACAACACCACCGAGGAAGCCCTTCTCCAGAACCGAAGACAATTATGCCATCCCGATCAGGTGGTATGGCGGAGCAAAGTTTTGAAGTAGTTGACTTGACTACTTTGCATTTTAGTTAAGACAGAAGGCGCTGTAAACTTGCTAATGAGTTTCAAAATGTCGCAGTAACTTTAGAAGCGTGTCATTTTGTCCGAGAATTCAAAACATTTGTGTCTAAAAAGAATAACCCGCACCTTTGTTGTATTTAGGAAACAGTGTTTGTATATTTCTTGCAGCAGTAATATTGGTCAGGCCTTCTACTTATCCTGGCCATAAACATCTTAACATTTGAAAAGGTGCGCCCAGCTTACATAGTAATTTTGAACCTCAATATGTTAGAATGGTTGTATAGTTAGTACTGATCGATTCTATAACACCTATATATATTAAATAATAACTCCTGAGAATATTCATCGAAGCCCAACAAGCTCTCAAACGCAGTAGACTGTTAATGTTAACTTTCTAGTGGCTCCCTGTTTTGGTGCGCAAAACTTCAGGGATTGTATGGTGAAGCATAACCTCCGGCCTCTATACTTACAAAGCCTGGCAGATCGCCACGAGAAGCGGCCAGCGAAATTGAAAGGGTAGAGCGGCAGACAACGAATGAGACGGGAGCCTAAAACCCCTTTATGTTTCAAAAGTAGCGCAAGGTGCGTCAGTGGAGAAGGCACGTGCAAGGTGCAGCCCTTGGAAAGATCATGGCGGCGCAGCGCAGCACTGAGCTAGATTTCAGAGGCCATGTTTTCCACAAAAGTGGCGCGCAGTTCGTGTCTCGAGCATTTCTACAACAATAAATGGCGCCACTTTTCTCAGGATAGAGGGGCTTTAGGAGAGCCACGTGACGGGCGCCCCGTTGCGGCGAGACGCTGAAACACACTTCTCCCAAGCGATGGAATGCGCGTTCGTGCTCCTCCCGTTCCTCGCGCTACCTCTTCTTTTCTCGTCGGGTTTGAAAACCATGCATTGTGTCCTCGCCGTTGGAAAAGGTGTTGGGTAACGACCAGGTTCCCCGAGAAAGGCTCTGTGCTACCAAATCCTCACGTTCCAAATATGCGACCGGGCACTCTATGGCTCCATCGTCGAACTGCCAGGCTTTGTGAGTATAGAGGAGACTATGGTTGAAGTCAATCGTAGCTCCCTAAAACCGTCCTCAAAGTAGGTTGCAAAGAGGAATTACAGTACTCTTGAACCAACCTCGACGTAGGTTTGGGAAGTTACAATTCTATAAATACTACTTAAAAGTAGGATATAGAAAAATAGAATTTATGTTGACACACAAACTTATCAATTAGCAATGTACCTAGACCATATGATTTCAGCTCCATTATAAAATAAAGCAATCTTTATCATTTTATGCTCTATTCTTGTGCCAACCATTGATCATTGTCTCACATATCAACTTTCGAAGCGTAATCTTAGATGACAAATGATCTCTACTTGTGTTCCCCCAAATTACAACTGCTAAGCATTTATCCTACAAAAAACTGCTCTTTCTGTGATAGTTCATGTCCTAGGCATATTCGAACAAATAAAGACAAAATATTTTATGTGCGCTCGCAAAATAACAACTTATTAGTGGTATGTTTATTGTTTCGTATTTTGATCGCCCCAGCACTCATTTATAAAGCTCTGTCATTGCATTTGCTCTTTTCTTAGGAGGAAATAAGTCAACGGACTTTAAACAAAGGTTACAATACCAAGCCACTTGCAGTTCTTATGTTCTGAAGAATTCCAAGGTTGAGAATGGTAAGATAACACAAAAAAACACGAACCGAGCAAGAACGGCATTCCTTTATATAATTGTTGACTAAAGACATTGCTGAACAGCATTAACGGGTACCTAGAAAAAAAAAAGTTTTTTTATCGCAGAAAAATTCAATGCATTGCCGGAGGCCCAGACATCATCAAAATTCACCTTTGGTGATTGGAATTTGATTCAAAGGTCTGATAAATAAACGTTGTCAAATTTAAGGGCTATAACTAGTTTTCAAAAATTTATAATAAAAAAATGGAGTCCACTCTTTTTGGTATACGTTATATATTTGTTTCATGCATTCACAGACTCTTTTCCGCTACCATTTCTATTTTGGGGCCTACGTACGATGATGAAAGTGCCCGCGATGTATTAAATAGAAACGTGGCTCCTTATTCTCGGAGATGATGATTCCATGTTTCTAAAGCTCATAAACAAAAATAATACATGTGCACGTGACGAGAGAAACAGTGAGAGGAATGCTGGTGCACGACGAGCACGTACCTATGTGTCGGCAAGAGTTGTACCATGTTTTATGCGGCGGCGTGTGCTTCGAAAACACCTCTGATCTGATACAATGCATTAATAAGACGGATAGGAAATACCAGGCAGGCAAGGTGGAGTGGTGGAGTGAGTAGCTCGGTTAACGCTGTGGCGTATCTCGGCAGTTCGAGAGACGCTGAGATAGCTGGACGTTCGAAAAAGAATGAGCTCCCGAGTAGCGCTCTTAACGGCCTTTCAAGGTCGCTGTTCTTCCTCTTTTGTCTCAAAGAGTGAATGCAACGTTATCCTGCTACCGCTGATCATAGGAACTGCTGCGCTAAACTAACTGTTTTTACGATATGACCTGCAAGGACGGCCCTACCCGACTGAGGACTTTAGAGGAGGGGCTTGGAAAATGAGAATACTGTAAACGACTTATTTATCGCGGGCTCAATATTTCCCGATTTAGGTAAAAGCTGAAGTTTTAGAATAATTCGCGGGCTCTAATTTTCGCAACGAGGTGGGATCTCAATATAGATTCCAATGTGTTTATATTTTACCGGGATTGTTCGCGGAACCCGTTTTTCGCGAATTGTAGGCAATTCGCGAATATTACGTCCTCGCGAAAATTGAGTCGCTTTCAGTATACACACTAAACATGTACGAAGACTTAACTTGTCGCGCTTTTCGTTTTCAACCCTTAAATCCTCCCCCCCCCCCCCCTTCCTCCTTTGCCGGCTTGTGCTAGTACTCATCGTCACTGAACATCCCGTTTTTTAGCTTTTGTCATTATTAAGAAATTCTGCCTTCTCATTGAAAGGTCTTTGCTTAGTTTTATTACCGATTCCTACTTTATGATTGTTTGGAAAATAAGAGCGTAATTTTGAAAGGCGGTAGATAATAGATATGCAGAGAAGTTCCGGTGTTTTACTAGTATCACATTTGATTCAGTTTATAAGCAAACAATTTCTTCTAGCCCTGTCCCCCAGGCAGAGGTCGGTATTTTTGGTTGATGTCACTCACTTACAGTTAGCTCATTATAACAGGTTAACAACTCTTGTCACCCTCACCCTCATGGCCGCACTTACCTTCAAGGGCTCACTTAGGAGCTCACAAAGTCACGCCCCTCATCGAACTCACAGACTCACGCCCTTCACTGAGCTCATGAACTCACGCTCCTCACCGAACTCACAAACTCACACCCCACATCGAACTCACTCACTCACTCGATCACTCACCGACCTCACTTACTCAGAAGTAGTTCTCGCCCTCACCGTAGTCGCTGCGCCGGCGCTCGTGTTGCGCGGGTGTCGCGCGGCTTTTACAACCCTGCCATGGTTGCTGCAGTCTTGCGCCGCTTCGGCACCAGCCGTCACCTCGCCAAGCGAAGAAATGTTTTCTCTTTTTGTTCGTTTTGTTTTGACTCCTTCCGCGCGCTGCTGAGCGCTTGGGGGTCAAGAAAGCATCATGGCGAGTCTCGTGAAGAAGTACTCTTTTGCGGTGAGCACTGTTCGTTTCAAGCATTCGCGACAATTTAGTGCAAGTAGGGAGTGAGCTTCTGCATCGTCGTTTATTCAGGTGTGAATTATTATTATTCAAGCATGCACTACCTTGAATGTGCAGGTTGTTTTTGCATATAATATTGCGAACTTCTCCTTAATGGTAGGACAGTTTTCTCAGCATTTTGTTGTCGATTACAACAATTACAAAACGGTCTGTATTGGTAGTTATCGTCGTTCATACAAATGAGTTCACCTAAAATAACTGCCTGGTGGCTATTTTTATAAAAGGAGGTATGATTGAAAAACTTCGTGCGTACCATATTATTTCATATTAATTTTCTTTATCCTGTCTCATTTTCTGTTGCAGCTCACATACCAATTAAAACTAGAACGTTCTAATCTACCGACTCTTTGCATCGTAAAATGTTATACTTTTTTGCATGCTGACATAACATCTTTATCGGTCTCAGATGTCTTCGGTACTCTTGCTGCTCAGACAATGTGCGTTTGTGTATTTTAAACTTGTCAATATGTCGAATACAAAGATTTACAAACTACACGTACAAAGTTGTGTTTTTTAATATTATATTTTATTAGTTTTTGATAGATGGTAATTTTTAATGTGGGTTCACTAGTTTAAATGAATAAACGGCCTACATCTATAAGCGGAAGTTATTTTATCTTCGATAATTAATTTACTTAACTTAGAACTATTTATATTCTAATTCGGATATCTACGCGATGTTTGAGGAGGGAGGAGGACGGCGGTCATGCAACTTAAATAAACGTTCCACAATTCTTCATAATTTGTTTTGTTGGATACTAAACATTAGGACGCTTAATCTCTTCGGGTGAGGAAGGTTGCTTCCGTGCCGTCACGCGCAAGCACGCATGTAAAATATATTTTTAATTACTTAGGTGTGGACACTGTCACTCACTTGTATGAATATGAGGATGCTGAACTGCCAAGTAGCGCTCTTTGTAAACGACCTGGACGTGCGTGGCGCGAGCTGTACCGGTTGATAAATAAAAATATATAGGAATAAGAACTATAATATCTGGAGCTAGTAAGAAAACCCTTTCTCCGGCACGGGAAACGTTTTCGGGTGCAGCCATTATTTTGACTATGATCAATAACAACCTCTTAAGCCAATAACGGGGTGCCGGATAGCAGGTTTGGATCCTTGAGTTGTTATCATCAAAATGAAGTTAAAGTATAAAGATAGTTTCATATATCTTTGAATATGATCTAGGAACTTATCGTTTCCAACTTTTATGACAATCCATCACCAAATTAACCTTTACATGCTGCCAAATTAATGTAGCAGTGTTTTAACCCAATTGCGAACAACTCCGGCCGTTCGGCCGTACTTGTTCCACACGCGCGCATACGAAATATCAACTTCTGCCTTCAGACGTACCGGCGTCGCGCTTGTTTTCCTTTTTCAGAAAACAACAAGACGCCGCGAGTATATCGGGGACTCGCAGTCTACACAAGAGCGGCCGAGGCGGTCGGGAGAGCCCCCGCTACGAAGCAGCGACTAGCGGCAAAAGAGCACGCCAGGCCGCCGCCGAGCCGGCCGGAGCCGAAGAGCGCAGATCAATAAATAGGCACCTTTCCTCCTTTCCCATCACTCGTAGGGAACCAGCCGTACGAGTTAACAGCACCATTGCGAAGCGAGGATCGACTCAACTTCCACGGAAATGTACGAAGTCACACTACCCGCCCTTCCTCGACGTCACCCGCAAGCCCCCATCGAACCGATAGCCACTCATAAACCGCATGCCTCGCCATACTCATGAACTCACCGACCTCATAAACTCACGCACCTCACTGAACTCATGATCCCAACGAACTCAGGAACTCACGCCCCTCACTCAACCTCAAACTGTTGGGTTTTTAAGGCTTACACACTCGCTCACCCTCACGTCACGCCAGATTGGTGAGGGTGAGTGAGTGAACTCCTAATTGAGTGTTGCCGAGTTATGCCTAAAGATTGTCAATCACCTACTTTGGATTCGCGAAATTCATATATCAGCTCTTTGACTGAGGATGCTATCGTACAGGTACAAATATTTACATTAATATGTGGGGCCCTGGCTGAGAGAGGATATTCTTTATATCAGCAATGTTTTGCGTCATTGCTTATCGACTTTCGCGCCATTGTTGCAGTATGCCCTAGAATTGTTTCTGTAAGGCCCTGGATTGAACTCCAGATCTCCAGTCAGCACATGCAATTCACAAACAATTCCACAGTAACGAAAAAAGAATTAAGCAAATGATGCCTGGTCTTAAAAGTACAAAAAGGACGATATAATTTCGGTCGAGGCAGACAGTATTGTTTCTGCTAACCCGCGTTTAGAATAGATGTAGACGATTTCACAAATGTTACTTATTGAAGGTTTTTGTGTGCCAACCAGGATTCCCTGAAATGTCCAGGTGGTCCCTTCAAAGCTTTTTGAGGGGTTCGAGAGGCCCGTTATAAATTTGTGAGAGGTCTGTGGGACTAGTCAACATCTTTCTCAGGTGATCACACAATTCTCGATGATCGTTCTATGTGGAAAATAGTGCGTGACCCTTCCGGGTCTGCGCTTCATGATATGTGCTTGGTCGCTCAGTTTCGTTCGTACGTCCTACGAGTGAAATCGATCTCCTAAATAAACTTCAGCATCCTGGTGCGGAGCTACATCAACAGCTTTCGCAAAGCCATTTTCTCATACTCTTTGGTCCGTCCGGCCTCGGTAGCTCGTTCAGAGAGGAAAAGCAACGATGCTACAGCGACGACACCAGGGCTCCGTATTCGGCCAAATCGAAAGCGAGAGCGTTCTCGGCTGTTGATAAGACGTGGCATCACACCTTCCTCCTGGTTGGGCGGAGTCAACAAATGAGAAGTGAAAAACCCGCTCGAAAGTTCGCGATCGCGAAATATTTTGTGAGAAAATGTCATCAACATACAAATATTGAAAAATGCCCAGCGTCCTCTGATATGTAGTCCTTAGTACTCTATCACTCATCAGTTGACGTCATCCCTTCTGTTACATGGCGAAAAGGTGGCGGCGATAGTGTGGCGGCGCTAGAGGGACTGAGGAGGAGTGATTGATGATTTCAGAGCTTCGACTGATGTTAATGCCACGTTAGCACAGACATGCACGTCAGGAGGACAGAAGCAATATGCCGGTTCCTGGGAAAGCACGTCATTCACGAAGACAGCAACCAGAAGACAAGGCTCTGGCACGGAATGAATAGAAACAGATGTGTTGACTGGTAGTTTATACTTCCGAGCTATAGGCAATCCGTGGCTCCGTGGCTTCCTGCCGGTGGAAACGTAACTTTCCAAGTCCCGTGCTGCAGGCGTGTACATGAATTTCTGCGCTTGCAAGCTGGTCGCAATGGCCGACGATCAGAGACGTCTGCAGTTTTTTCTTCAGTTGGATGAATATCTGAGCTGCTGTTCTGTCCATTGCAAACTAACTGCGCCTTCCCTGAGGCGCGTCAGCGCCGACTCGTGTGACAGAGTATCCAGGGCCAATAGCGAGTCGATGCACCATGTTACAACCGTCGTTTTCGTGACGTTTATTGTCAGCCCGGAAACAGGGCATGATATAAAGATCGATTCCTTTCAGAAACATGACCCAGAAGCTTCTCAAAGCGGAACTTTGAACCGTACACAGTTTTTTGCCGACAAGGGTACTTGAACGAAGATGTGATGCCCGATGTTCCGCGCTATCGTCATCATGCCGCCCTACGTGGCATAAGTTTCTTGATGTCGTTCACCTAAAGCCGTAATACGCGTAAGACGGGTTTGAATTTACGCTGCATGTTTGATGCGTCATGGTTAGTTAAGAGTGTTTAAAGCTTAAAATGCTTCTTAACGGAACCATTCTATCCCAAACGTTTATTCATCCTTTGCTCCATCTGTACGTGCATTTTCAGCTATACTTAGTGGGAAATTGGAATCACGGGACCTAACGTCAGGTGACCTATACGCAGTGAGAAAATTGACGTCACGTGCCTCCTACGTCGATTCCGTTGCTCCGCTCAATTTTCCTTTAAAATGATCGTCTTCTCAACTCATCACCAATTGATTTTGCCTCTAAATTTAGAGGGAGGTATCGACGTCACGCGACCGGATGTCACGTGACATATACAACAATTTAGTTTCCCCACTAAATTCGGCAAAAATGCACATTATGTGAGACACCGATACCCTCTCCCCACGCCATCACGGAAGGAGCTGGTGCGCTCCTCCCGTGATGTCACCGCTGGAGGCGATCGACTCAGGCCGGGAACCTCGGGATAACGCTGATATGAAGGCATTGCGCGTGAATATGGTGTCGTAAAAACAAGTTTTCATTGATACAAACATGTTTTATAATCTGGAAGGTAGTTTAGAAAATACAAAAAGCTAGTAAACAAATGTTCTTGCGCGGGAAGCGATTTAAGCGCCACTGAACAGCTCGGGCATGTAAGCATTGCGAGTGGATTTACGCTCGCAGCAACGAAATTATATTATCACAATCATGTTTATTAACCAGAATGATAGCTATAGGTATCAACTAAGCTAAAAAGGTATGTAGAGGTAAATTATTAGTGCATAGAAAAGTTGAGGCGCAGCGTAAGAACAATACATGTAGAAAGGTGCTTCGGGAAGGTGGAGTTTGCTTCTAGTCAAGCTTCTTTAGGGATGTAAACATTGCTCAGAAATGCAGATGTATTTATAAATAATAATTTTCATAAACTGGCATGACACGGAATAGTGCAGCAAGGCAAGCAGTTCATAATAGTAATGTAAGGCTTACAAACCAAACGTTCACGGAAAGTATTGCCTACAAAATCAAACCCGAATTGTTGAGGAATTCTGTCTTACATTTCAGAAAAAACAGCATAAAGTTACTTTATTGGAGAGAATAAAAATGACGGCGAATGACAGTAGGAAACATTCTCTTTGAAAGAGTTGCTACCTACCTTAATCTTTTTTTTTAAGTAATCAAGGTCAATTCAACTAATCAAATTCTTTGCGGCTTTACTATATTTTCAGCACTTAAAAACGCCTATTATTTTTATTGTTTATCGCTCAACAACATATTTGTTTATTCAAATGGCTATCTTGCATTGCAACACAAACATCAACAGGACAGCAAACGCTTCCTTACCTAGGAGTTCTGACAAGAGACGGGTGTCTTGATAAAGACTGGCATACGGTTAAGTGATTCTGCACCAAAACCTACGCTTTAATTGTACCATTTCGCTCGCGTAGCATCCCATACGACCAGCAAATAGCATAAAAAGTTCTTACATCTTAAAGGTACTTATGCAGTCAAGACACCGCCATAGGTAAATTTCGGTGCCTCAGCCACGGCCGATTGATGCCTCTCGACATCTCTCGAGAGACTTTGTGAAGTCTCTCAAGCGATGTCGAGAGACTTCACTTTGAACCATACAGGTTCAAAAATGAAAACTTGCAATCCCAACCTCAGAAATAAATTGATGACACAGCATGTTTTTATAATACAAACGCTGACTTATGCAAACGGGTGAACTTAAAATTATATTTGGCAACATTCGGAATACGGCACAGCGACTACTACGACGTCCAAATAGCCGACTACCACAAAACAAAGAATAGCAAAAGAGAGAAGCTTAAGGAAAAGCTGAAGGAGAAACCCATCTTCCTGTATTGCTTCCTCCTTCTGACGTTTGTGACGTCATACCTTCAAGGGCTGTGACCTTCCTTCTAGGTGGTATTCTCAAGGGAGTTCTCTCCATCTGACTCCTCTCCCTCGCAACCCCCCACTCTCTCCCCTCCTTCCCCACCTTGCTCCAATTTCCTACCTATCCCTTCCTCCTCTCTCCTTGCCCCTTCCCCACCTTCTTTCACCTCGTCCTCATTCTGCTTCAGTACCCTCTCTAGCTCCTCTTTCCCTTCCTCTCCAGCTCCTTTATCATGCGACACCAAATCAGTTTCCCTGCTAAATTTAGAGAGCAAATATACATCACGTGATACACCGAGTCAGACTCCCCTCCCTCTGACCCCCCTTTCACCTGCCTCCTTCTCCCAATCCATCTCCTTAACCTCCTAAAGCCTCTGCGCCCTCCCAGCTGCCTCCCTTCCTCTCCTTCCCCCCTCCCCTTCCCCCTTTCGAAGGTCTACAGTCCCCTTACTTCATCCTCCATCCCTATTCACCTCTCTTTCCCCTACACCCTCTTTGGTCACCAGATACACTAATTCGGTTTCGCCGAAATTAAGAAAAAAGGTTTTTAATTCCCGCAACAACTGTTTAACGATTTCCAAACAATTAAAACAATCACTCCTTATAAAACTTTAAAGGTGCAGGTTTTTGAGAGGGAGAGAGATATTTTAAAAGGGAAAGCATAAGAAGTGCTTTGAAGCCATAGCTTCGGGATTTCGGATGCCACCTGGGAAAGGTCGCTGCCAAGTTTTTACCGGCATTTATGCTGGGTTGCATAGGGACGATCCATTTATGCGACTCGCCCGCGGAAAGGTCGATCCCTGTGCCCCCAGGTGAGATCCGCATGCGCTGCCACCTCGGTCGCGCACGCGGTAGTAAGTACTCTGGACCGGAATAAAGATGTCTTGCTTTGAGCGTTGAAGAAAGAGAACAAAATAAAACAAACAAAGCATTTAGTGTTTGTGCTCCTACTGATTCACTTTTAATAAACTTTTCCGAGCTCCCAAAACACCACGTTTGAACTTAGCTATCCTAGTATAAGCGCAACCTCCACAGCCCTTCAGACTCTTACGCTGAAGATGCTGAGCATAATAGGATTAAGAAAGGCCTATTCAACTGCATAATCTACTCATCTAAGTCTTCCCGACTTAAACAAAAATCAGCCACATCCTATGTTTCCAAACTTTGACTAAATACAAAAAAAAAATATGACTGACATTTGTTTTATCCCACACATGGCACATTAGTCCTGCGATAGTACTCGCCAAGAAAGTTTGTTTGCATGTGGTTTACAAATTTGGTATCTAACTTTTGTTTGCAGACCTATCGAAGGAAGATCCTCCCATACCGGTTCCATTACCGTGCTGGAGTCATATAAAAAACGTAGGAGCCATATTTTGCCTACTCACTGGAAGCGATGTAAGTCTTACGAGGCATAGAAACTTGTAAAACTACAGTAACCCAACTATTACATGAACCAGACCTCAACCTTACACTTCTTTAAAAGAGCACTATTTTGTGAGAGAAGAAAAATATTTGAACTTCATAGCTGGTAGAATATTTTCGGAGGTATTGTCAGTCACAAGCTAGGAAATAGTTTACTAATATATGCAATAAGAATATGCACACATCAGGTCACACAACATGCGGATCAGTTTTATGCTTTGAGCTATTTTTTTGTTGCTGTTAGGGTGTGAAGGAATTTGGTGCGCAATGTTAAAAAAACTGCAATTCAACGTCGTAAAATTTCATTTTATATTATGATATGCATTCATTAACAAAAAATTGTTGTCCACTATCGGATGCCACGAGTTTTCAGCTGTTATTTCATATACGTGCACCCCTCTTAAGACCTGCCAGCTGTTAGGGGCACAATAAAGCACAACTTAATTGAAACCTTCATTAATATATTCCACTAAACATGGAAGCGCAAGTAAAGAGGTTATGTGCGCAGTATAACCAAACATCCCGGAGTTTGAGAATATCCAAGTCCACCAGCTCAACATAGTTTTCAAAGTTTTAGGGGGACATGGCACTACCGCTTCAGGTGATGTTTATGAAAAATACCTCGCAACGCCTGTGGTGTATAATATTGCAGCGTCTCCGCTTCAGAAGTTCGGATAGCATATCGTTGCTTTCAAGAGAAGTGTTGCTTTATTTGGATAGCAAGCAACAACAATGAAAGAAGGGAAAAGAAACAACAACGCCTAGATTGGACGAATTTGTGTTGTAAAAAACTTAGAGCGAGAAAAACATACCAGATACACCAGATACTCAGTTTTCTATAACTAAAAAGCAGTGGTGCAAGACTATCGGGAGTACCATTAATACAACCAACAGTAGAATCCCACTTTTACTATTTATTAATAAAAAAGACTATAAGTAGTCCTAGCGACAGTCTACTATCATAAAACTATCGATAGCCGAAAATTCCAAACAAAAACGCTATTGTACTATTGATAGTCGACTACGGGTGGCTATTAATACCTCGTGGGTCAAAGGAATCGTTGGCCCTTTGAAAGAACAACATAAATTTGTTTCTTAACGTAGAACGAGGTTACGATTTTGGACAGAGGTGAAGATAGTGCAAATTCTGTATAAAAAAAAAGAGTTCACATAAAATTATGGAACGAATTCACTACCTACGGCACCGTCTTCATTTAAAGACGGCCGCCGCAGGTCATTCTTTATTTAAAGTGCATTTTCGTTTTTACTCACTCGCTGGTGAAGCACCCTGTACAATGTCGCCATTATTTCAACAAAAATGACCGCATCGTCTCCTCTAGCGTTTCTAATCGTGCGCCTATCTTATTTAAAAGTTGAGACAACTCTTTACACCAATTAATTTTTTTTTCAGGGTTATTCAAGATTTGATTGGACGTCCTGTCAGCTGCAATGCATAAACAGCGATTTCCAACTGGACTTACCATTTGAAAATTTTAATCCGGATGAATTAGTTGTAAGTCACTTCAGTATCTTCTCGCTTTGTACGCGCACTTCCTTCCAACAAGTTCGAACTAAGTCGTTTTTTTTTCTTACATTTAAAGAAGGAGTTAATTATGATATCTGGTATATCACGCAGAGTAAACTATCGGGGCATGAATCTTGGTAATGAGGCTGGACCTCGACTTCCATCAGGTCTCTAGTGCAGACGCTGGCATGCCCCACCTGTTCACTGCCATAAACCTTCGGGTGCGAAACGGCTCACGCTGCATGGGGTTCCAGGTTGGCATTACCTGTCAGCCTGGCGCCGCTCGCTCCGAAGTGCACTGATTGCCGTGGACAAACACACCGTTCTCGGTACGGGGAGAGGAGGCGGGGAAGGAAGGGTTAGAAGTGCGTAAAAAGAAGATAGCAAGCGGGGCCAAGCATGTCTTGGGGCAGTCGCATTGAGAACCGCGGTTATAGATAGCCTTTCGCACAACAGACTGACTGAGGGGACAACTGAACTTGACCGGCGAATGATGCGAGTCAGTAAAATGTTGTTATTGTGAGCGAAGAGGCGGCTTGATCAAATCGGGCGTCAAATAAGGTCGAGTTACTTGACCTTATTCGACACAGTATGAAAAACAATATGTTATTTTTCATTTCCTGTACGATACCCTTTGCCATTCATTCCAGACCATTAGAAAAGATCCGGTCCGCTTTCATATTGGTTCGCAGATGTTAAAATTGACTTTCTATTTCTAGAGGCGGCCTGGGGCTCCAATCTGGACACTTGGCGAAAACGTCGGCGAGACATCCGGCAGCCGTGATTGGCCATCGCCGCACTTGGCCTTGGTGCCGGCCAATCATCGTCGCCGGATTGCTCACTGACTACTTAGCCAATTATTCAGATTAGGGCCACTGGTTGGTGCCGGAAATCATGCAGTCTGGAAACACATCACACATAGTAGCAAGTTGGGGAAATCACTGCAACTTATTTTGACAAATACACCGATATAAGTTCCGCATAGTTATGTCTTCACATGATCGCAGTATTTGTATAAAGATGCTACGGCCCTAGATTTGAATTAACGTAACAAATCTGTATCAATGATTCAACACTCTTGATGTTTTAGACATGCAGAATCTCGTGACATGCACCAACTCTACTGTGTTGCATCACAAAGCGGTTGTTGTGCTTCGTGCGCGTTTTCGGTCTGGGGGTGTGGGCGCAAGTCGCCATGCGTTACGGGCATTTCTGTGGCATTTTGAAAGAAACTAGACGAAATCCTCCCTTCTCGTCCAAGCGCCGCGACTGGGACTGTACCAAAAAGGCTGGGACAAGTGTGAAGATCAGTTTTCATGTGTTTTCCGCCTGCTTTGTTCGTCCGGGAACGTGGATAGGTGCCGTCAAAAGAAAAAAACCAGTCACCGACGGACCGCGATTGAATGTGTGGGAAGCCTTTGGAGTTGAATTAACGGCAACTTGAGGTTGTTAGATTTATTTGTTTTGTTCCAACGTGAACGTGAGAAAACCGGCAAGTTGTCCGGACCACCCGCTGACCGCCGTTCAGTCCGTCTTAACTTCCAAACGACCATCTGATTGTTCAAATTGTCGTCTGGCCCTTTCAAGCTCGTTCGTACTGTCGCCTGCTCGTTCAAACGACAGCGGCCAGTAGACCAAAAGTTGCGGTCAAAAGTAAGTGCAGGCCCCAAACGACTTCAAAGTACGAAGGTTGTTTCGGGTAGGTAGGGCTCGGTGTAGACAAAAATACAAGGGGATGTTGATCACTGTTCTCAGTGGCCATCACCGAATTGTTATGCTTGATTCACTTGTCATGATTCTGCTTGCGATTTTCAGTATCGACGTTGTAGGATACGCCAGATCCCACGTGGTCCATTGATCGGACGAACAATGCCACAAAATGTGCAACACAATCAGAAGCTCTCCACAATGTTCACAAAGTGCAACACCTTCACCACGAGGCAGATACTGGTGTGTCACACGGGAGTGACCTATTCTTAGACGGCACTGAAGAACCTTTACACGACGTTCCCTGTTATGAAAGCTCTTCCAAACACCCAGAACGGGCTTGATAATGTGAAGTTTGTTGTTGCTCTCTGTATTCCATTCCAGATGCCATTTGGCACGCGGAACTTGAGGAATTCTCCGCCGTCATGAGATTCCAGCGTTTCCTGTGAAGCTACACCAGCTCGTTTGAGGGCCCTGAAAGCACCCCTCAAAGGCGCCTTTCTAACAGCTGATCTACTAACCTTCTGTCGTGTACGGCAAGCGCTTGAGCGCTCCGTGGATGTCTTATTTGTGGGTGTCATTCTCTGCCGTGGGCTTGCAGATGGGAAGTTCTCAGAGCCTGTTAAACTATGAGACGCAATAAACTAAATGCGGAAAGCAAACCAAAGACGATAGGAACGCGGGAGTACTGCAGTGTGTCTAGGTCGCTAAATGCGTCCAACTACTCGATTGGGCGGATATGGTTTGTGGGCTGCGTTTCCAAAACGAACTGATAGGATGTGACCAAATCATTGATCCTCTGCAAGAGTCTCTGCCTCTTCTCCTTGATTCACGTGACGGAGTAACGCGCGCGATTTTTGACGAATTTGCTTAGAAGCTTGCGGAGGCATCGGCCATTACATTGCAAACTTTGTTAAAGTTTCAGTTATAGTCTCTTTAATTTATGCACGCTAGAGCGCCAAGTGGAGTGTCGCCACCGCTTTACTGTTGTTTTTTCTTGCGCTTTTCTCTGTGGAAGCCCGGGGCGTGCTCGTTTCTCCGAGCAGAGGGCCGGTCGCTGCATGCCTGAACACGTTATGTTTCACCACCACCGAGAGTAACACCGAGGCACTCGAGGAAGATGTTCGGCAGGACAATGGTGTCTAACGAACGAGCAGACAAGCGCTGCGTCAGAGTTCGGCTGGCAGTTGGCCTGTCGACTTCCGTTCCTGGCATATGACCGGATATGGTTAGATGCCAGCCATATAACACATTCTGCGTTAAACATAACACTGAAACATAATCTGATGCGTGTTTCCTGGATAATGAGGTATAAAACGAAACCAAGCCGAACATGAACGTTTTTCGGCTCTATACAGCATTTACCCGGTACGGGCCAAGAGGCTGCCATACTTCTTATCCAATAGCTGGCAATCAGTTAGGTATTTCTTCGTTGCTCTTTGAAGGAAATTAATTGCATTGAATATGTAATACTGACTAACAGGGCAGCCGTGTCACAAAATGTTCACTTAAGAACGCACTTCTCAAGGGATCCAACTTTCGATAGAGGACTTAAAAACAAGAATATTTTATTTTAGCAGGGTTTCGTACCGGCCATTATAACGGTTTTGTTCGGGTTCAGGTTAGTGGGCAGGTGTCGACGTTTCGGCAAGGGCACTGCCTACTTCACCCTGATGAAGGCAGTGCCACTGCAAAAACATCTAAGTATGAACAAACTAGGTAAATTGACCATCATGCAAATATATATATACAAGCTTGTCTTTTTTTTTATTCTTGCAGATTTGTATTTAAAAAAAAGCCATGAAAGCTACACTTGTGCGGTTTGTGCGATTGAGTTATACGCCCAAGGGGACATTATGTCGGTGGCTGATCTTTGCGATAAGTCAGCTAAATAATTGAAATTCAATAAATAACTTTTAATTAGAGAAAATAGACATATGGTTCCAATTAGAAACTTGCTGAGCGTCGTCCGAAACCTCTAAATCAGTCATTTTTAGAAAGACCTTGAGTGCGGGAGAAGCGCAGTAGTGCGCTGAAGATACCACTCTTGGAGCAGGTACAAGGATGGGGCTAGATAAGAGACGAAAAAATGGCGCGGGCGCCTTACCGCAGCCGCCATATATATATATATATAACGGGCATGGTGGCGGGAGGCCGAAGGCGTGGGTATATAACTGAGAAGAAAAAACCCCTAGTGAAAACAGCAACAACGGACGATTTAATCTTCGACGTTTTGGCCGGAGTCCGGCCTTCGTCAGGAAAAACTTTTACAGATGAACGCGGGTGGTATTTATACAGTGCTACGGTCGAGTCCAAATTTCGGCGGGGTGACGGTTGTAGCTTTCGTGAGAGAGAAGCGTAGGGCAGCCCTTATACGGGTGAAGAAGCTTGACGGTCGGGCCAAGTTTCAAGGACGCGGGGTGACGGTTGTAGCTTCTTGAGAGGGAGCGGCAGGGTCACTTTGTGTCCGGGCGGACAGGGGTGACCTGGACGATAGCGTACAATAGATGAAAGTTACACGCGCAAACTAAAGGGCTGTCTCAAAAAAAAAAGAAAGAAAGAAACAGGGCGGCACGGTCACTTGTGTTGTTTTCTGGGGCATGCATGAGTCAGACCTGGAAGGGAACAATGTTAAACCAAGAAATAAAAAAAAATATATGGATATATATATATATATATCAGTGTGTCGAACCGAAAAAAATACGGGTTCGGTTACGGTTCAGGTTCAGGTAAATTTATTTTGTTCCGGTTCAGTTCCGGTTCGATTAATTTGATCCGCGAACCGGTTCGCGAACCGGTTCGGGGCGCTGAACCGGTTCGCGAACCGGTTCGGAAATTATAAATGACAAATTGCAACATCAAAATAAATTACAAATAAAACATCTGAAATCAGCACATACGAAACGGGATACATCGTAGTGTAAGGCTCAGGGATTTCTACCGGGAATGGTTTCTTTATGTGCACTCAAAGGTTACCTCACCGACGTTTACGCATTCGGACTTCATCTAATTGGGTCCGACGCAGTAGCTGTAAAATCCGCGACCTCCTTACAAACCCCCTTACAAGTAGAACTCGCTAACTATCCCGCCACCTCGGCGTGTAAGCAATTGAAGGAACACTGGGGAGAAAATACAGCTTTCTTTATTTGAACTAGCCTTCGGTAACTCACATTAGACCCTTAAAGAAGTTTTCATTAAACAAGATACGGAATATGAAAAACACTTCACCGAACGCAACGCCAGAAGGACGTAATAGGATAAATATTAAAATAGAAGAGTTC